CGGGGGGACTGGGGAGCCGGGCGGGAGGTCCGAGGGACCGGGCCGGGGCCTTTGCTGGGCGGGAGCTGGGAGTCTGGGAGCTGGTCTGTGGAGTCCCTGGTTTTGGGGGGTTGGGCCGGGGGCCAGGGCCTTGGCCGGGCGGGAGCTGGGGGACCAGGGGTCCAGGAGTCTGGGGCTTGGGGGCTGGTGAGCAGGTCTGGCCGGGAGCTGGTCTGAGGGGACCTGGGAGTCTGGGGCAGTACCGGGGATCGTACGTGGGTTCCAGGGATCGTCCCTGGGGTCTGTGCTGGGAGCCAGGGTGGCATTGGGAAGCCGTATGGGGGTGCTGGGGGACCGATGGTACTGGGGATGCGGGAGTTGTACGTGGTGGGACCTGGGGATGTACCGGGGGACTAGGAGGGTGCGGGGGGCCTGGGGCAGCTGGGGGTACTGCTGAGGCCTGGGGTACTGGGGAGACTGGGGAAGGGGTAGGTCGGGTACTGGTTGCCGGGCAGGGGAAGCCTGGGTCGGGGCCAAGGGAGACTTGGGGGCCCGGGAGGCCTGCGGGCTGGGCCAGGGGCTGTGGGGACCCCGGGGGTTTGGGGGCCACGGAGGCTGAGGGGCTGGGGGCTGGGCCAGGGGCTGCAGGGACCCCGCGGGATTGGGGGCCAGGGAGGCTGAGGGGCTGGGGGCTGGGCCAGGAAGACGGGGTCTTGGGGTCTTGGGGTGGTAATGGGGGAGCTGAGGGGACTGGAAATACCTGGGGCTTGAAAGCAACTGTTTGGGTAAGCCAGGAATACACAGATGGGGGCTATTTTGGCTCAGGCTCCTGGGGGCATTCTGGGGAGGTTCACCTTCCCCTGTCTCTGCTTAGGCTGGAGTCCCTCTCCTGCGCCCCTAACCCACTCAGGTTGCTCTGACCCTCCCACCTTGGGCTTAGGCTGGTGGATCAGCAGGGCCTGCTGGGCAGGGCCTCCTGGGGCCCAGGGTTGAAGTGGTGGGTGGAAGACGCAGCCACCTGTGTTGTTTGGTTTCTGTGGGTCAAGCTCTTCCGCCACCCAAGCGTGGCTCTCTGGAAGCACCAACTTGTCAGACCAGTAGGGAAGACTTGGGTTAAAGAAGCAGGGAAGAAGAGGGCTCAGTCATACCTTCCAAGCCGCAAGTTTTGGAAAAGTCTGTGCTTTTTGGCTTTAAGTTGGGCGAAAAGAGGGTATGTCTGCGCACAGTCGGGATTATTAAAGCACACGGTTGTCAATTTGTTTTTCATCCTGAGACTTCCTTTCTGTTTCGTCAATGCAAGTATGAGACTTCTTCAAAAGAGTCTGTGGAAAGGTAGAATTAAAAGATAATGCATTCTTTCTGTTAACTTTTTGAAGTGCCCTGTACAAGGCCTCCTCCTCCACAAAACCTTCCCAGATGCTGGGTCTGCGCTCTTTCTGGCCCCTTCTCTTCCCCAGCGTGTGCTCTGCAGCCTTCTGTGGAGCCAGGTATTTCTCGCATGCCCCTTCTCTGCTACTGCCTGCTACACCCAAGGTCAGGGAACTGGTCACACCAGCTTCTATTCCGCAGACCTGGGGGAGGTGTCTGGGCCAGGAAGACGGGGTCTTGGGGTCTTGGGGTGGTAATGGGGGAGCTGAGGGGACTGGAAATACCTGGGGCTTGAAAGCAACTGTTTGGGTAAGCCAGGAATACACAGATGGGGGCTATTTTGGCTCAGGCTCCTGGGGGCATTCTGGGGAGGTTCACCTTCCCCTGTCTCTGCTTAGGCTGGAGTCCCTCTCCTGCGCCCCTAACCCACTCAGGTTGCTCTGACCCTCCCACCTTGGGCTTAGGCTGGTGGATCAGCAGGGCCTGCTGGGCAGGGCCTCCTGGGGCCCAGGGTTGAAGTGGTGGGTGGAAGACGCAGCCACCTGTGTTGTTTGGTTTCTGTGGGTCAAGCTCTTCCGCCACCCAAGCGTGGCTCTCTGGAAGCACCAACTTGTCAGACCAGTAGGGAAGACTTGGGTTAAAGAAGCAGGGAAGAAGAGGGCTCAGTCATACCTTCCAAGCCGCAAGTTTTGGAAAAGTCTGTGCTTTTTGGCTTTAAGTTGGGCGAAAAGAGGGTATGTCTGCGCACAGTCGGGATTATTAAAGCACACGGTTGTCAATTTGTTTTTCATCCTGAGACTTCCTTTCTGTTTCGTCAATGCAAGTATGAGACTTCTTCAAAAGAGTCTGTGGAAAGGTAGAATTAAAAGATAATGCATTCTTTCTGTTAACTTTTTGAAGTGCCCTGTACAAGGCCTCCTCCTCCACAAAACCTTCCCAGATGCTGGGTCTGCGCTCTTTCTGGCCCCTTCTCTTCCCCAGCGTGTGCTCTGCAGCCTTCTGTGGAGCCAGGTATTTCTCGCATGCCCCTTCTCTGCTACTGCCTGCTACACCCAAGGTCAGGGAACTGGTCACACCAGCTTCTATTCCGCAGACCTGGGGGAGGTGTTGGGTCAACAGTGACAGAGATTTTTGACACAAAACTTTTTAAAAGCTTTTTATCAACCCTGTTTTTTTCCCCTTAAGTGTGGTCTTAATGATTTGTGTTAAAAAAAAATTCAGTTGATGATGGCTTCTGATGAGGTAGAGACTGCTTTGTTTCACATAGCAGAGACTATGTGAGTTTCTCTTCTCTTGGTCACAAGTGCCAGCCGAGGTGGCCCCACGTCTTCCTGGGGCCTCTCCCTGACTGCCTGTTCTGTGTTTCAGGCCCAAAGTCCTGGCTATGGCTGCAGCTACCATAGTGCACGACACATCTGAGGCCGTCGAGCTGTGCCCCATGTACGGCCTGTACCTCAAGCCCATCACGAAGATGACCATCAGCGTGGCCCTCCCGCAGCTGAAGCAGCCGGGGAAGTCCATCTCCAACTGGGAGGTGATGGAGAGGCTGAAGAGTATGGTACACAGCCACCAGTTCTCCACCCTGCGCATCTCCAAGAGCACCATGGACTTCATCCGCTTTGAGGGCGAGGTTGAGAACAAGAGCTTGGTCAAGTCGTTCCTGGCCTGCCTCGACGGCAAGACCATCAAGCTCAGCGGCTTCTCCGACATCCTGAAGGTGCGTGCGGCCGAGTTCAAGATAGACTTCCCCACCCGCCACGACTGGGACTCCTTCTTCCGCGACGCCAAGGACATGAACGAAACTCTGCCGGGGGAGAGGCCGGACACCATCCACCTGGAGGGGCTGCCCTGCAAGTGGTTCGCCCTGAAGGAGTCGGGCTCAGAGAAGCCCAGTGAGGAGGTCCTTGTGAAGGTGTTTGAGAAGTTTGGGGAGATACGGAACGTGGACATCCCCATGCTTGACCCCTACCGGGAAGAGATGACGGGTCGGAACTTCCACACGTTCAGTTTCGGGGGACACTTGAACTTTGAGGCGTATGTGCAGTATCGCGAGTATGTGGGCTTTATCCAGGCCATGAGTGCCTTGCGCGGCATGAAGCTCATGTTCAAGGGCGAGGACGGCAAGGCAGTGGCCTGCAACATCAAGGTAAGAGCCTGTGCCCAGACCCATGCACACTGGTGTCCTGGAGAGTCGGGATGTTCTGTACCTGTCCCCCTTAGATGGTGGGAACACTCCCCGTAAATAAAACTACAACAGTATTGTGTTCAGTAGAATTTCAGGTGCACAGGTATGAGAACAGGTCTTTTGTGCATTTTGTATCTTTCGAAAATGCGGGAGAGCCAAATGTCTTAAGGAAGGGGAGAAGTTGACTGTCAGGGATACTTTGAAGGGGATTTTAACCACGTCAGAGCCAAGAGAGCTTGGTACCTCCCAAAAGGTTCCTTTAAAGTAGGGCCTAAAGTTTCTTTTATCATTATTGACTCTGATGTATGTTGGCTTTGCAGTGATAGATAAACCAGCCTTGTAAAGGAGACTGGGTTTTCGTGGTAGTAAGATGCTCGCACACCATGTGAATGTAGGCACAGGGCCCTGTAGTGGCCATTCGGTGGCACTTGCATAAGGAACGGGGCCCCTGCTAGCGGAATGGGAAAAATTGCCCTGTAATGATAGTAACTAACTTCTTTTTAACTTGTGGTGAAGGCAGGTTACATCATAGGGTTAGCTTGCATTCCCTTTTTGAGCCATAACTTCTTGGGGTGAGCTAGGTCCTGAGTCCCTAATCATGTGACCTCAGACAGGTTGGTCGACCTCTGGACCCTGCTGTTTGGGTTTGTACCACACACGAATGGTTAAGTGGTAGCTCAGGTTGTCCAAGGTGACTCGGTGTCCATGCAGACTGCGGGAGCACGCCTTGCACAGGCTGCTGCTGTGTGTTCAAAGAGAGCTTTCAGAGAACGCTGCTTTACACCATTTCTTGCTTCTAAAGGTTTCTTTTGATTCTACCAAACACCTGAGTGATGCCTCAATTAAGAAGCGGCAGCTCGAGAGGCAGAAGCTTCAGGAACTGGAGCAGCAGAGAGAAGAACAGAAGCGCAGAGAGAAGGAAGCGGAGGAGAGACAGCGCGCGGAGGAAAGGTACGTCCTGCAGGAGCGGCGCCTCGTGTGTGCACCTGTGCGCCTGTGCATGGTGCTTGCTGGGACACGGTCTCTGCTGGGTCACGCCTTTCCTTCAGCGCCTCCTCCCTGGGCACAGTTTGCAAATCCTGCTGAAACAAGCAGGATGTCTTGTCCGCTGGCAGTTTTGCATTTAGGTTGAAGCTCCATTTACAAAATGAAGGAGAGAGTTGATGAAGTTGGCCAGATTAAAAAAAAAAGAGAGAGAGACCCAGTTTCATTTAAGAGGCTTTTAAAGTAATTGCCTTTCACCGCATCTTAGATATCCAAGGGCAAACTCAGGTTATGATGTTTCCTTCTTTTTTATCTTTTGTTTTTAGCATTGTGAAAGTCATCAAACCATCTATATTACAGGGGTTTTGTAAGGAGAAATTCATGTCACCGCAGCGGTGTGTTTCTTGATAGCATTTTTGTGTGCATGTATTACCCGTTTTCTACTCTGCTTTATTGTGCTGATGTTAATAAGTCTCAGACATGTTTGGTTTGGCTGGGTTCACCCCTTAACGGCCTTTGGTTTACGATTTAACTGGTTTAGCTGTGGGGTACTTGTTTTGTTTCCATTTTCACGGTCGTATGCAGTGCTGATGCGGGTGTGTTCACGCATCCAGCTGTTTTGGTCTTTGCACTGGAGCGCGAGAAGTGCATTCATAGGCACTGGGTCCACACCATGTGTGTTACTCCTGATGCAGCGCCATGTTGTGTTCCCAAGCGTGAGTAGGGCTGTCGGCCCATGGATGTGAACGCTGGAGGGTCGTGAGACACGGCAGGCACAGTGCGTGTGTGTGGCCGTGGATTGGGGAGAGAGACGTCCCCATCCACTGTCGGGAGCCCCGGGGGTCACGGTGGGCAATGCAGAGAGGAAGACAACTCACCTCAGGGTGTGGGACGATGGCAGGCTCTTGGCAGGGTCAGGGGGCAGGAGGAGTGTGGATTTTATATTGAATCCGTGTCCCGGGTGTCAGCATGCTCCCAGGAGAGCCAGGAAGAGCAGTGGCGGGAGGCTCACTTGCAGACGTCTTCCAGCGCGCTCACACGACCTGGGCCCTGTCTCAGCGGGCCTTGTCCTCACTCTAGGAGGAGTAGACTGTGACACAGTCCCCAGCCCTCAGTCTTAGGGAGTGGCTCCACAGTGTTTCAGAAAGCAGCTCTGAGGTGGAGCCTCAACCTTTACGTCAGGGAACTGGTTGTGTCCATCTGTCTGGTCAGAAGTCAGAATGGGGGAGAAGGGGAAATAGGCAGTGTGGCCCTTTGGAGCTGGCGGGGGAGGGCGCCACGTCCTCGTGGGTGCCCTGATGCACTTTCTTGGGGTGCGAGCCTGAGGCCGGGCCCACAGGAAGCCTGCAGCATTTCTCTTCCTGGGTGGTTCAGTTTTAATAAGAAATAGAGCACGGGGAGCCCTACTCCTAACGATGACCCGGCCTGCCTGCAGTGTGTCCAGCTGTGGTGGCTGCAGGGCTCCACTTGGCTGTCGTGACCACCCCTCTTGGAGCTCATGGGACATCTACACCTCACGATACAGTGACACTTTCTCTTGTGTGCTCCCCCATGTGGAGACCTTCGTGCTGTCGCTTGTAACTGGTCTTCAGTATGAGTCCCGAGCCTGGGCTGAGTGCTTTGCCCTCTCTCCTCTTGCTGGGCAGGGAGGGTTTTGATCCTTGGCTCTCACCCCCTTTGTCTTGGCTTCTCTGTCCTTGTCCTCGTGCTCTGTTCTATTCCTGCCGTTTCTGCAGGTCTGGCTTCACCTGGGCACGATTTTGCTCTTTTCCAGCCCATGCAATGTGCCTGTCAGGGCTGCAGGAGTGCTGTCTTCTATGTCCTGTGCAAACAAGAGTGGCTTTGACTTTTTTACTGTGTCAGTCTGTTTGAATAAAGTTTAAAGCTAGAGGGTGATGAGGGTGCGCTGTGTAAACTCATCCAGAGTTTCTTCTTAACTTTCCCTGGGTGGGGGGATGTCACTCCTTGTGGCATTTGGTCCTCATTTCCAGAACATCTCCACCTCCCCTGCCAGTACCGAGGATTGCAAGGACACTAGCTGTTTGGGCATGGTGTGGATTTGTTCTAAAGTAAAGTCACCATCTACCAGTAATAGGTAGTGACCTCATGAGATGGCAGGTATTGTCAGGAGTCCTCTGATCCCGGGACACCCTGCAGCAGGTGGCTTTCCTTGCATTCTGGGCTGTCATGGGGGCCGCATTGGACCACTCACTGGTGCTCAGTGCCAATGAGAGTTGAAAGCTGGGCCTTTGAGGAGCTGGCTTCGGGGGCTGCTGGGCACTGTTGTAGACGCCCAGCCGTGGTGGTCCTGGCCACTGGCATGGAGGTCCTGTCTGTCCAGCTGTGTGCGGGTGTTTACCACTCTCTTTATTGCAGTTACAGACAGTTTTCATGCAGTAAAGTGTGCTGGTTTTCAGTTTACAGTATGATGAAATTTATTAACTGGATAAAGCCACATGCCCAACAGCATGATCGATGCATGGAATGATTCCCTCACTCACAACATCCCTTGAGCTCCGACCAGATGGCCTCTTCCCTCTCCCCAGGTCCAGGAGACTCAGATCATCCTTTATAACACCCCCTGCCCCTTCCCTGCTGCAGCCTCTTGCAAAAGCCCCTGTTGAGGGGAGACCCCCCACAGGCAGCACACTGCAGCATTCACTAGTCGTGTTTACACTTTTGTGTTTTTGAACCGAAGCCTGTGTGCTAATGACCTCGGTTCTTGATGCTGAGTTTTGTCTTCCTGACGAACATGCTGGGGTGAAGTTGAGCATCTCCTCGTGGGTTTGTCAGCTAGATGTGTTCTCATGCTGAGAGGGGCTTTGTTTGTCCTGCTGCGCTGGTTGCCTTTTTTTGTGGTAGCAAAGTACACTGTGCCTTAAGTTGGTCACGTCTTGTGTCTTTTCCTCACGGATGGTCACGTCCTGTGTCTTTGCCTTACGGATGGTCACGTCCCGTGTCGTCACCTTAAGGATGGCCACATACTGTGTTGTTGTCTTAAGCATGGTCGTGTTCCATGTTGTTGCCTTAAGGATGGTTGAGTCCTGTGTTGTCATCTCAAGAGTGGTCACGTTCTGTGTTGTTGAAGATACTTTTTCCAAGCCTGTCTGTGTTTCTACCTGCTGGAACTGCGTCTCAGTCAAAACTCAAGTTTTGATGTACTCAAATCCATTGGTTCCTTTCTTCAGGTTTCTGATTTGGGATCACATGGGAAGATTATGAGACTTCACCCTGTTGGTTCCTTCTGCTTCTCAGTTTACTTTGATCCAACTAAAATGTATTTGGGGACAAAGAGTTAAAATGATACCTGTCTGTATCCATCCTGATATCCATCCTTGCTCCCTGGCTTAAAATATTGCCTTGATTGTGTATGGTGTGTTTACTTGTAGCACGTTGTGCCTAACAGCCCTTCGTGTGTTTTGCCCAGGAAACAGAAAGAACTGGAAGAACTGGAGAGAGAACGGAAAAGAGAGGAGAAGCTTCGCAAAAGAGAGCAAAAACAGAGGGACCGTGAGTTCCGTCGGAATCAGAAAAAGCTCGAGAAGCTACAAGCAGAAGAGCAGAAGAAGTTACAGGAGAAGATAAAACTGGAGGAAAGGAAACTGCTGCTGGCCCAGAGGAACCTGCAGTCCATCCGGCTGATTGCAGAACTGCTGAGCAGAGCCAAGGTACCCGCGGCTGGGGGCTGGGGGGCTTGTCTCGTCCATCCTGTGGCGCAGGAGCCGCTCCTGCTCTCTGGCCCTGTCTGCACGTTCCTCTGAGTGATGTGGTTGGTGTCGTGGCCCTTCTTTTCTGGGCCGGTTGCAACCATAACCAAAAGAAGTAGGTCTCCACGCCGAGGATGCGCCTCACACTCTGTTGTACTTGGGAGCACTCCTCTGCAGTTCCAGACCACACTTCACTTTTACAAACCTGATAGAGCTTTGCTAAGCATCTCGTGCGCTTGGGCTTCCCAAGTGCTGGCTTGACAGCCTCTGGGTGGCCAGGTGGAGGCTCACGGTGTCCCCCACCTCCAGGGAGAGGGAGCACCAAGCATGTACAGGTTCCCTTGGCTCCATGGATATCATGTGGCTGAGGACACGCAGCCCGTGTCCCAGCTTGGTCAGTGGCCTGGCTCTGACCTCACTGAGCTTCTGAGACGGGGTGAAGCCGAGCCGTCCTTGTACAAAGCGGACCCGTGGTGGGCCTGGCGCCCTCCACAGCTGCAAGTCTGGCGGGGCTCACCAGCATGGTCCCAGTGGCCTTCTCCGGGTGGGAGCCTCCTTGGTTCTCCTGGAGTTGTGACCGGTAACTCCCTGAAGCCGTGGCCAGGGCAGAGTGAACCTCCCTCCCCAGCACACTCCTCTTCCTCAGGAGGGCCGTGTCCTCCTGCGGAGTCAGATGTGGGGCTACCCTAACCTGTTGTCTGATTACAGTTGTGATAAGTCCCGGGAAGGAGCGTGGCAAGAGCGCTGAGACATGCGGCAGCTCAGCTCTTATCTCATGGTGAATATTGAAGACACTAACCCAGGCCAGGCCGGGCACGTCCCGGCAGCTGCCTGTGTCTGCGGTGTAATCTCAGCTCCCTGTTGCTGGCGACCGCTTGCGACCTAACAGCAAGCCCTGTCTGCCAACTTGGCAGGTATGCAGGGTGCGGTCACAGCCCTGCCTGAGATGCCTGCCCCGGGGCTGTGCCAGGTGGCTTTGCCAGGGATCCTCTTTGCTCAGACGCATGACAGCCCTGGGCCTGGCCATGGGAGCCGAGCGCTGGACAGGGTGGACCTCACCTGCGCAGGACCAGGCTGCAGGTGACGTCCTCTACCCAGGGGGCTGCAGTCCAGCCCAGCTGTCTCTGCAGCACCCCTCAGACCACGGGGCCTTAAGACTCCCTCCCAGCACCTGCTTGGACCGTCCAGCTGGGCTCAGGGTCTCTCTCAAGTGGCGTTCTCCTCTTTCCCACAGGCGGCGAAGCTGCAGGAGCAGGAGCAGCAGGAGGAGCAGCTGCGGCTGCAGCAGCTGGAGGACCGGCGGCGGCTGCAGGAGGCAGAGCTGCGGCGTGTGGAGGAGGAGAAGGAGCGTGCGCTGGGCCTGCAGAGGAAGGAGCGGGAGCTGCGCCAGCGCCTGCTGAGCATCCTGCTGAGCAAGAAGCCGGATGACGGCCGCGTGCACGACGAGCTTGGCGCCTCCCACGCCGCCCTCCTGCAGCCCGTGCTGGACATCCTGCAGACCGTGTCGGCCGGCTGTGTCACTGCCACCATGCTGCAGCCCCTCGCGGGCCAGCCCAGCCCCAGCGCCCTCAAGGAGACCTCATCCCACCTGGAGGCCGACCATGCTCCCAAAAATGTGAATGGGAGCATGGCCGAGGAGAGCCAGGGCTCCTGCCACGCTGCCCCCGACAGTGGTTCACCTGAGAAGAGGTGCCCTGGCGTGCTTGCTTGCATTCCCGACAACAACCAGCACCCCAAGGGCTTGCCTGCCTGCGACCAGAGCATACTGAGGAAGGATGCCCGGTCAGAACAGGACAAGTGCAACCGAGAGCCCAGCAAGGGCCGCGGCCGGGCCAGTGGGGATTCGCTGGGCGAGGACCGGCACCAGCGGGAGAGGAGCCGGGCACGGCGGGCCAGCAGCAGGGAGGAGGGTCGGCCACGGAAGGAGCGGCGGCCCCACAAGAAGCACTCGCACAAGGATGACAGCCCCCACCGGCGCAGCACTAGTGCCGACCACCCCCGGGTGCGCAGGTCCCACAGCAGAGACAGGTCCAGCAGGCGGGACAGGAGCCGCGAGCGGAGGGGCAGTGCTGGCCGGAAGCGCAGCCGCCACCGCCGCAGGAGCGACAGGACCCGCTCCCGGTCCGCCAGCAGGCACCGCAGTACCTGGAACAGGTAATGTTGGCTGTGGCCTCCCAGCAGCATGTCCGGGAACAATCAGGACCAGTGCGAACTTCCCAGCCCCACGTCACCCGCTCTCCATCCCCCTGCAAAGCCGCGTGTCTTGAGCAGCCGAGAATGTCAGAGGAACCCACCCTGCCGAGGAGGGTTGCATCCCAGGCCCGCTTTCTGTGATGGTCGATGGCATCTTGGCACTTGAGTTCTGAACATGTAGATGTCCCTCACTAGCTTTAGTTCTTTACAGCTGTTGATTCGATAGCTTTAAAATGGCCAGTTCTCTCTAAATCAGCAAAAACGCACAGACCGACAGTTGTATGAACGGCAGACCCGCCGTGGAAGGTGTGCAGGGTCGAATTCCATTGTCTTCTGGGCCACCCCACGTGCACCGCACAGGAACTGCACCTGACGCAGTGAACTGTCCGAAGTGTGGACAGCCGCAGGGACACTCGGGACTCTAACGTGGAAAAGCCTTGCCCTGGAGACAACTCCTCTTCTCTGTAATTTAAACGCGCGCGGGAAGCACAGTTTGGACGGGATGCTGAAGGAACACAATGCTGGGGCACATTGGGTCACTTCTGAAGAACGCTCAAGTCCTTTTTAGATCAGAAGCTCGAATGTGCTGTTTCAGGTGTGGGTGTGTGGGGGCGTGGTACACTGTGGTCTGATGCTCCTTAACTTCAAAACATTCACTTTTTACAACTTCAAGTCGTTGCGCATAAAAAAGGGTTGGTTAAAAAGCTTTGGTTTCTGGTGAAAGGTTAGTGTGCGTGGTTTTTTTAAGAAGCCGTTTTGCTAAATTATTTTTACTTGGAATGTTTCAAACAGATTTAAGGCTGTGAACTTGTTAAATTTTGTAACTGTTTGCTTCTCAAAGTGAAGCTCAGAAGTACTTAAAAATAGCTGTAACGTTCACGTTGGGAAAGATGGTGTTTATTCCAGTTTGCATTTTTATGGTGAAATAAAATCCTTTTCCAATGAAGTAAAAATTTTCATGCTTATGTTTTGGTCATTTTTGTGTTCGTTGGACCTCTGTTCAGTTGGTTGACAGTATTTCAAACCGATATAAATCCTTTGCCTTACCAAGAACTGCTGATTCGCTCTGATAGATTTCATAGTCCTGTCACTGGTGTGCTGTGGGGAGAATTCTGCATCTGAAGAGGTATTTGGTTTGTTTACTGAGAACATAGAGTTAGTGAGTTTGTAAAAATTATCTTTTTTAAAGCTTTAAAGCTGTTTTTAAGGTGAGTTAAAGAAAAAGTCACTCCTTTCCCCACCTAAATTAGTGTCAGGTAGGAGAAAGTGCTGCCCACTGAGAGTGCAGGCAGGAAGAATCCCTTCATGGATCTGTTTAATTAAAACCCAGATCTTCTCAGGGTATGGAGGGGTAGTCATATGCCTCTTCTACCCCAGGCTCCTGTCACTGTCAAAATCTGAGCCAGGCATGAGATGTGTTTTCCTTTGTCTCCAATGTATTTTAGTCTTGTACGATAATAACTGAAGTCGTGGGTGTAGGGTGTGCTCAGGTGCCAAGCGTTGGGATATGCATGTCTCTCAGAAGTCCCGTCCATCCGTGTCAGGCTCCCTCTAGCCCAGCACTGAGTGCCTATTCAGTGGCCCCAAGGATGTCCCAGGACCGGGCACTGCTCTGGGCACTGTGGATATGGTGCTGGGTAAAATAGTGCTCCTGCAACCCTGAGCGTCTCAGGGGACAGATACAGGAAGAGGAAAGAAGGCTGGGTGGTAATAAGCTCAGGGAGGCCTCCCGAGCTGAGCATGCCAGGCAGAGGTCTGTGCAATTGGGATGGGTGTGGTGTGTCTAAGGGTCAGGAGGAAGTGAATGTGGCCGGGAGGTCTCAGCCGAGAGAGGTGTATCCAGAAGAGAAGCAGGAGAGGTAGGTGTGGACCAGGTGACACAAATCAGGCTTCACTTCCAACCTGCCAAGAAGTGGAAGGTCCTTAAGCTTGGAAAAGAGACAGCAAAGAGAGGAGGTGGGGGCTCAGGCTAGGGGGTAGGAGAAGAGAAAATGTGGCAAAATGGGGGTGGGTGGCCTTGTGGGTGCATGGGGTGGGGAAGTCCAGGAAGGCTTCAGAGCATCACCCCCAGGCCTATAGAATTGGGAATCACAGTGCAGGAGACTCAGCTATCAATTTAAACGTGCCCTCTGTTGATCTTCATACGCATGCAGCTTCCAGAACCACCCAGAAACATAACGGAAGGGTGGGTCATTCTACCTGCATTTATCTGTCAGTTGCTGAGAGGGCTGTCGAAGTCTCCGACGATAACATGGCTCTGTCTGCTTCTAGTCGTGGTTCCATCTTTGCCTTTCGTGTTTCAACTCTCTGTTATTAGGTGCGTACACGTTGAGGGTCGTTAGGTCTTCTTGGACCACTGACTTTTATCTCGTTTGTGATGCTCCGTCACCGTGGGTGATTTCCCTTCGGACGTCTGTTCAGCAGTGAACGGGGAGGAGAGGCATCTGATAGGAGGAGGTGTCCATTCTGTCTGAGTTCCAGTCTCGTCTTTGCAGTTACTTTTGAAGGCACGGGAGCAGCACGGTGAGGAATGTGGATTTGGGAGCCAGAGTGACTGGTTTTCAACCATTTCCCCAAACACTCCCTTCCTGCCATGGGAGGAAGAAGACAGTGATCGAAGGGGTGTTGTGTGAAGGACACCAGGCTGCTTATCTGGGGTGGGGCCCCGGTCCTCTGGTCTTGTCCTCTCAGCTTTGAGACTTGGCCACCTTTACGACTTAGGGCAGGATTTTCCATGCTCCCATACTTCCGTTTATTTTTTAGAAATGCTCTTGTTTTCTCTAGGTGCCATTAGTCACGAGTAATGGCGAAGAGGTGAGAGTGGAGATGAACCCAAACAGGCTTGGTACTGATTAGATTTTATCCCTAGTGTCCCCAGACTTCTGGGGTGAGAATGGGAGGTTAGCGCTCTCTCTCTCTTCCCCACCCCTTCTCTCTCTTTCTCTCTCTCTCTCCCTCCCCTCCACCCTCTGCATTTATGGCCATTTGTCCTGAGTCTCTCCCTAGGTGATGGGAAGGTACAATCACACACAATGTATTGCACTTACTCCGTGATGAGCTGTGGAAGAGTCATTGACTTACTCTGAAAACAAAGGTGGGGAAGTACGATTCTACGCCACACGGTTTCACAGTAAGAACTTTAGGTTCTGAGCTGTGTGCAGTTTGATGCCCTCTGTCCTTGGTTGGGATCTTGAGATTCTCTCCACTTGTTTGCCTAAAAACTCACCCTATATTGACTTTGGTTTGTGTCTGGTGACAACTTTGGCCCCTCCCATGTCTACCTGTGAGCTCACCTGTACTGAGGTGGCCTGGTGACAACTTTGGTCCCTCCCCTGTCTACCTGTAGGCTTACCTGTGCTGAGGTGGCCTTGTGACAACTTTGGTCCCTCCCTTGTCTATCTGCGAGCTCACCTGTACTGAGGTGGCCTTGTGACAACTTTGGTCCCTCCTCTGTCTGCCTGTGAGCTCACCTGTACTGAGGTGGCCTGGTGACAACTTTGGTCCTTCCCCTGTCTGCTTGTGAGCTCACCTGTACTGTGATGACTGTCCTGGTGACGACCCTTGGTTCCCTCTCCTGTACTTAGGTGGCCTTGTGTCCTAGTGCCACATTGGGTCCCTCTCCTGTCTTCCTGTGAGTTCACCTGTACTGAGGTGGCTGTTTGTCCTGGTGACCACCTTGGTCCCTCCCCTGTCTTCCTGTGAGTTCACCTTTACTGAGGTGGCCTTGTGGTGACCACATTGGTCTTAGGAGGCACAGGCATGGCAGCTCCATGGGAGCATGGAAAGGAGGTGTTAACTGGGGTTGTCTGTGCTACGCTGCAGCCTGACAAGTCATCATAGAGACATTTCAGACTCAAAACATCCGAAATCAAATCTCCAGCCTTCCTCCCACCTGCAAACCCACCCCTCCCAGGGTCTTCTGCGTTGCAGAAAAATGGTGACCCCACACTGGCCTGAAGGTGTCCCTGGCTCTTCTATCTGTCAAGCCCCTTGTCCAACAGGGGCCTGAAAGAAGCGTCCAGCCCCCGAGCCTCCCGCCACCCCTGTCTGTGCCCCCACCATGCCCGCTTCCTCATGGAGAAGCGCGGCAGCCCCTGGTCTCTCTGCCAAGCTCTGTGTCCCCGACACTTTATCCCCAAAAGGCCGCTGGAGGGATGCCAGTGACGGTGGCCAGACCCCCTACTCGTCTCCTGGAAACACCAAGTGGAAAGGGGGTCCTGACAGTCCCCAAGAGCTTGTGGCTCCTGCCTTCCCCTCTTCCCCACCCCTTCCTCCTTCCCTCCAGATTACTTGTTCCAGGCCAGGCGTGCCCCAGGGCCATGCACCCGCCTTCCCTGTGCCCATCTCTCCTGGGATCACTGATGTCCTCCTGCCTCAGATGTCAAGGGCATCCTGACCACCCTGTTTAAAATAGCACCCCCTCTCCAAGTCCAGCTCTCCCTCCCCTTCCTTGTCTGCACACCACACAGGCCCTCTGATATTCCTCCCCACCTGGACGTCTGGATTTGCTGGTCTGTTGACTGGTCTGTTTCCCTTGGTGACAATGTAGATTCCAAGGGTCAGGGTTCTGTTTTCTCCCTGCGGTGATCTGCAGTGCCCGCGACGGTTGGCTGGGAGCAGCGCCTCAACACACGGTTTCCAATGAAGCGAAAGAGAAAAAAACGAAATCTCCAGGCTAACTTCATCCTCAGTGCAGCTTTATAAATGATGACAAATAAGTAACTTTGAAGTAAGTAACATTGAAACAGTGGTAGAAAACTTGAAAAGTTGATTTACTGTAACCACTGCTAAATTTAGTTTGTACCCATTAGAATGGCAATCATCATAATAATAATAACAGTAACATAGCAGGTGTCGGTGAGGGTGTGGAGGATCGGGAACCTTTGTGCTCTGCTGCTGGGACTGTAAAAGGCATGGCTGCTATGAAGGAGAGTAAGCAATTCCTCAAAAAGTAAAACATTACAGTTACCATATGATCCAGTACTCGACTCCCGTAATTTACATATATACCCCAAAGAACTGAAAATAGGAGTCCCAACAAATGTATATAAACCTACATTTATAGCAACGTAAATTACAATCACAAAAAGGGGAAACAACCCAAATGTCCATCAGTGAATAAGTGGCTGGTGGTCTGTCCGTACAGTGGAATACTATGCAGCCATGAAAAAGCGTGATGCTCTGACTCCTGCTACAACGTAGATGAACCTTGAAAACATGATGCTCTGAAAGATGCCAGACGCACAAGACCACACAGTGTGCGAGTCCATTTATGTGAAATGTCCAGAACAGACAAATCTATAGAGACAGAAGTAGATTAGTGGTTGCCTGTGGCTGGGGAGGGGGCCTGAGGAGGGAATGCCAATGGTTACTGGGTCGCTGGGGTGATGAGAATGTTCTAGAACTAAACAGAAGTGGCGGTTGCACGACCCTGTGAACGTCCTAATTGCCACTGATGTGTACACTGTAGAGTGGTTAAAATGGTAATAGCAAATTAGGTTTGTCATGTTCTGACTTTTTCTTTAATCTCTCCTTTCCTGGGTTCTTGAGGTTACTCGGTCTAATTCCCTGGAAGCCTTGGTCTTCCAGAGGCTTAGAAGTCTCATTGGGCTTGGGAACTACAGCACGTAAAGGACTCTCGAGGCATTTGGCCAGCCCCAGCCCTTCTCTGGGCTCCAGGGTGGGGCTGAGGACATCGGTCCCCTGCCCCTCACACCGCGTACTCTTCACGGCTCAGCTGAGTATAGCTCACCTGCCAGGTGGGCCCTCTCTCCTCTCCCTGTCGGCATTTCATGCCCACATGCCACCAACAGGTTCAGCACCCCAGGACCCTGTCCACTGTGAGGGACAGAGTTACGTACGCATCACCACCGAGATGGAAGAACGTGGCTGTTGATTTCACCGTGCACGGTGAGGCATCTATTGGTTTTCTAGCGCTGCTGTCACAAAGCACCACAAATGGGGGGCTTAAAACAACAGACATTTATTCGGTTCCAGTCCCGGGGGCCAGAAATCTGAAATTGAGGTGTGGGCAGGGCCACGCTCCCTCCAGAGACTCCAGGGGAGTGTTATAGACTGAATTGTGTCCTCTAAATTCCTGTTGGAGTCCTAACCCCCAGGACTTCAGATGTCGCTGTATTTTGACATAGGGTTTTTAAAGAGGCGCTTAAGGTAAAATGAGGTTACTAGGCTGGGCCCTAATCCAACAGGACTGGTGTCCTTATGAGAAGAGGGGATTAGGACACAGACATGCACAGAGGGACAACCATGTGAAGACACAGGGAGAAGATGGCGTCTACAAGCCAAGGAGAGAGGCCTCAGGAGGAACCAGCCTTGATCTCAGACCTCCAGCCTCCAGGACTGTGAGAGACAAATGCCTGTTGTTTAAACCAACCAGGCTGTGGGACTTTGTTAATGACAGCCCCTAAGAGATGAGTACAGGGGGGATCCCCCTCGTTTCTTCCAGCTCCTGGTGGCTCCGGGCATCCCTGGGCTTGTGGCCACATCACTGCCTCTGTCTTCATGTGGCTTCTCCTCTGTGTCTGTGTCTCCTCTTCTGTCTCTTGTAAGGACACTTGTCACTGGGTGTAGAGCCCACCCTAATCTAGGATGGTCTCATCTTAACTAATTACATCTGCCCAAACCCTATTTCCAAATAAGGTCAAACTTGAGGTTTCAGGAATTTGGTGAGGGGGACAGTATTCAACCCAGCGCAACATCCCAATTTCAGCATGTTAAAACGTGAGAAAAAGAAAGTGCATTTTAGAATTGATGTTCTAGAGCCTCTTCTGACTACTAGTGTTTATTCTCTCCCACTACTGCTGTGATTCTCAGTCTTGTCCGCACTTTAGAGTCACCTGGGGCGTGTGTAAAAACTCCTGATACCCCAGTTGCTGATGCAGGTGGTCTGGCTGGGGAGGTCTTCGAGTGCCCCCTTCCCCAGGTGGTTCTCTGCATCCTGTAACCGAGGGTGATGGTTTTGCTCCCAGGCTGTTTGCCTCATTCTCCCCGTGTTCATGGGGGTCTCGAGGAGGGGCTTGGTCAGAAGTGATGCTCAGGCTCTTTTCTGCCCTTCAAAGAGCCAAGAGGTCTCCTGTGAGTTGAGGAGGGTATTTTGCGTGTTTGGGAGACCACACCTGCTTAAAAAGCCTCCCCAGACCCCACACCTCAGGTCTCTATTCTTTCCAAAAAGTTCTTGGCATTTATATGCATTTGGGCTTTGTCTACACGGAAGTGGGCGTGCAGAGGGGCAGCCCCCGGGCAGGGCTGGGCACGGCGGGACCCGGCTCAGGAGGAGTTTGTGCCCCGCCAGCCTCAGCATGCACAGGGCCTTGAGCTCTTGGTCCAGGTTCTGCTCCCAGAAGGCCAGGGCAATGTGACCTCCGAGGGGGCGTGTAGCAAAGGGGAAGGTGAGACGTAGACAGAGATTGGGAGGAAGAGACAGAGGGAGAGACAGAAGGAGAGAGGAACGGGGAGGAGAGAAAAGAGGAGAGGGGGAGACAGACTTCCCTGCTGGAAAGCAGCCGACCACCAGGATTTCATTGCTAATAAAATGTAAGCTGTTGAATGCCCTAAATAGCTTCAGTATGACAACGGGTTAAGATTGTTGGAGGAATAAACAGGAGCTCCATTCACCAGAAGAGGACAAGAAATTAGGAAACCAACACAGGCAGATGCGAATCAAGGACAGGTGGCGATGGAAGAGAAGCAACGAGAAATCTGCAGTAAAGGCAGCTGCTGCTGAAAGTCCGCCTCTGCGAGTGGACGAGCTCTAAGGGGATTCAGGCCAAGAAGGGCAAGGGAGGGACTCGCAGGGTGATGGGGAATGACGAGATGATGAGAGACACAGGGAGACAGACGGTGCAGAGCCGTGGAGGAAAGATGGGAGGGACGCTCAGAGTCGGGGCCCGTCCAGAACGACAGGCTTCCATGGATGCGAGCTGCACACAGGCCGCTCAAGGAGCATGGAACCCGCTCCACGGAGAAGCTGTGGAACCTTCACTCATGCACGCCACAAACGGTTACGTGGCTCCACCCGGGCTGCCTCTGATGTCCCTAGAAGCTAAGGAAGGAAGGCATGGAGGAAAATAAATAACATGGCCACGTATGCAGGGCAGCCTTTCAACAGCCCCTCTCACCGCAGCTCTCACCGCGTAGATTTAGCTGTGGCAAAAAATGCAGTGAAAGATAATTTCCAAGTCTAAATCGACGGAGTGATTCAGGACACATTTGCTTGCAATAGAAATCCAAGACGGCTAGAACTTATTCTTACTGTCTAGCTGTAATTTGGGGTCCATTAGCCAAGCTGTCAGTATCCCCCACCCCTCTTCCCAGCCTTTAGCAACCACAGTTCTACTCTCTACTTCTAAAAGTTCAATTTACCTTTTGTTTTTTTTAGCTCCCACATATGAATGAGATCATGTGGTATTTATCTTTCTGTGCCTGACTTATTTCACTTAATGTCTTCCAGGCTCATCCGTGTTGCCACAAAAGACAGGATTTCATTCTTTTAATGGCTGCGTAGTATTCCACTGTGTGTATATAGTACGTTTTCTCCATCCATCTGTCAATGGACACCTAGACTGATTCCATGTCTTGGCTATTGTGAATTGTGCTGCAGTAAATGTGGGAGTACAGACATCTCTTTGATATGCTAATGTCCTTTTCTTTGGATAAATATCCTGCAGTGGGATTGCTGGATCATCGGGTAGTTCTATTTTCAGTTTTTTGAGGAAACTCCATACTGTTTTCCATAATGGCTGGACTAATTTATGCTTTCACCAACAGCATAGGGGGGGTTCCCCTTTCTCTGCAGGCTCTCCAGCATTAGTTATTCTCTGTCTTTTCGGTAATAGCCATTCTAACTGGGGTGAGACGATATCTCTATGTGGTTTTGACTTGCATTTCTCTGATGATTAATGCTGTTGATTATTTTTCTTATACCTGTTTTCCATCTGTATGTCTTCTTTTGAGAAATGACTATTCAGGGCCTGTGCCCATTTTTTAATTGGGTTATTTTTAATTTAATTTTATTTTTTGCTGTTGAGTTGTTTAAGTTCCTTGTGTATTCTGGATATTAATCCCTTGTCAGATGTAGAGTTTGTAAATATTTTCTCCTATTCTATAGGTTGTCTTCACAGTCTGTTGTTTCCTTTGCTTTTTAGTATGATGTAATCCCATTTGTCTATTTTTGCTTTTGTTCCCTGTGCTTTTGAGGTCTTCTCTATAAAATTTTTGTCCAGACCAATCAATGTCTTAGAGTGTTGCCCTATGTTTTCTTCTAGACGTTTTATAGTTTTAGGGTCTTATATATGTCTTTAATCCATTTTAAGTTGATTTTGGTATATGGTGAGAGGTGCAGGTCTAGTTTCATTCTTCTACATATGGATGTGCACTTTTCCCAGCACCATTTACTGAAGAGGCAGTCTCTTCCCCAGTGTATGTTTTTGGTGCCTTTGTCAAAGATCAGATGGTTGTAAGTATGTAAGTTCTCTCTTCTGTTCCGTTGGTCCATCTGTCTGTTTTTATGCCAGTGCCATGCTGTTTTGGTTACTATAGCCTTGTAGTATAATTTGAAATCAGGTAATGTTATGCCTCTGGCTTTGTTCTTTTTGCTCAGGATTGCTTTGGCTATTTTGGGGTCTTTTGTTGTTCCATATGAATGTTAGGATTTCTTTTTCCATTTCTGTGAAGAATGTCGTCATTTCATTTGGGATAAGTTTTAGTGGTCTACAGTAGTGGCATTTATAGTTAACAATTCATTGTGTGCTCTCACATGGCTAGAAGAGAGGAGAGCAAATGTTCTCATCACAAAGTGATAAAGTTTGTGATGATGAATATGCTAATTGCCTTGATTTGATCACCACACATTGTATACATATATTGAAGTATCACTCTGTACCCCACAAATATGTACAATCAATATGTTTCAATTAAAAAAAAATAAATTTTTTAAAAAAGGAAGCAAAGACAGGCATTGTTTCAGGTCGCTTTTTAAAGATCCAGAGACATGAACATAAACCTAGCTCTACTCTACTTAGGTTGTATTCTCTAAAAAGATAGGTTCAAGTCCTAATCCCCAGTACCTGTGAATGTGATCTTATTTGGAAGTAGGGTGTTTGTTAACGCCATTAAGATGTAAGTTAAGGTGAGGTCATACTGCAGAAGGGTGGATCCTTCATCTGATATGATTAGTGTTCCTCAGGAGAGACAGAAGAGGAGACACAGACACAGAGGAGAAGCCACGTGAAGATGGAAGCAGAGACTGGAGTGATGTGGCCACTAGCCCAGGGACATCTGGAGCCACCAGGAGCTGGAAGAGGCAGGAAGGATCCTCCACTGGAGCCTCTGGAGGGAGCGTGGTCCTGCCACACCTGGACCTCAGACTTCTGCCTCCAGAACTGGTAGAAGATATATTTCTGTTGTTTCAAACCCCTCAGTTTTTGGTAATTTGTTATGACAGCCAGGAAACAAATACAGCCCCTTCTCTGCCCATTTGGAGGAGACCAGAGACTGTTCAGTCCATCAGATGGTTAATCAATGCTAATGATTAGTGAGCATATTGGTTTTGGATCAGCTCTGCAGCTGATGATGTCAGGACAGGGGCTGAATGCACATGAAAGTCAGAAGGAGTGAGAAAACCAGGGAGTCCTCACAGGCTCCGTGATCCTTTTAATAAGGTCGATGGAATTTTCTAGAGTGATCCGTCTTTGGCAGACTGCAAAGAGCTTCCGGCAGCCGGGCTGAGCTGCTGGTCATCCTCCAGCTTTGCTACCAGGCTCGGCGCTCCCTGAAGCAAGGACAGGGAAGCTCTCAAAGCCACGGCCACTGTGCAGAGAAAATAAATTCTCCAGAGGACAGCACCTACTGGCTCCTGACTGAGTACTGCAGTGGCTTCATGGTGTCTCAGGTAGGTGTCCCGCTGCATCTGGAACCTCGGGGGAACTTCCCTGTGGCACGCTTGGACCTTGTTGCTGGGTTTTTCTGTGTTGCCTGTGGGGCCAATTTGGGACCTCTTCTGGGACACCAGATATAGTTCAGAATGATGGTTTTTAAAAAAATGATACACAATTCATTAAACATATTTGTGGGGTGCAGAGTTGAATGTCTATATCTGTGTAAAACGTGTGGTGACCAAATCAGGATAATTAGCATGTTCATCATCACAAAACGCAATCATTTCTTGTGTCCATTAACCAATTTCTCCACAATCCCCCTCTCCCTGCCCTTTCTACCTTTAGTAACCCCAGTTCTGTTACCTCCTTCTAAAGTTCAACGTATTATTGTGATTGTTGTTTCTTTCTTCCTTTTTCCATCCTTCCTTCCTTCCTTCTTTCTTTCTTGCTTTTTCTTTCAGAAAGGGAAATACCGCATGTACTCACTCATAAGTGGGAGCTAAAAAAATAAAGATTTCTTTAAAGGTTAAATTAAAATGCGTAGGGTTACAAAAGAGATAACTTACTGAGCTGCAGATATTGAAATATTTAAAACATTTTGTGATAGAGTAATGTATGTGTTTGTTCATGAATGCATGAAATACCAAGACACATTAAAACAGAGGCATGTCTTGGAAGTTGACCTGCAACGTAGTATATACATCAATGCTTCAGTCTGTCTTGTGGCTGAATAATATGATGGTTAGTGAAAGAAGCCAGACACAAAAGGTCACATAGCGTATGATTCCATTTACGTGAAGCATCCAGAACAGGCAAATTCGTAGAGACAGAGCAGATGAGTGATTGCCAGGGGCTGGGAAGGGAGAGTGGACAGAGAGTGCTGAAAGGGCAAGGGGTCTCCTTTTGGGGTGGTGAGAATGTTCTGAAATTACAGAGAGGTGGTAATCACACAACATTGGGATGGGCTAAGTAAATTGCTCACTTTAAAATAGTTAACAGTGAATTTTCTATTACGCAGATTTTACTTCAATCAAAAGATAGAGGCACCTCAGAGTTAGGTTTTATTTTTTGCAGGTCTGTCACCGTTAGGTCTGTTGAATCAGGATATTAAACAGCAGGTGGCCTTCGGCAGGACGGTGTGCATGCTATGTTGGACCTCTAGCCGCTTTTGACTCCATGTCAGGGGTTCCCATGCTGAACCATTTGCGGAGATGTGAGAATACAGATGGGATCAAAGCATCTGTAGTTCAGTTTGCAGGGTGAGGGTGGGCTTCTCTCATGGATAGCAGGATTCTCTCAGGATTTTTTCAAATTGCAGCAAAAATATATTGATGGAGTTTGGATGTGTTGTCCCCTCCAAAACTCATGTGGAAATTTGATCCCCAACGTGGCAGTGTTGGAAACTGATTGAGTCATGGGGGCGGGTCCCTCATGAATGGATTAATGCTCTCCCTGGGGGAGGGGGGAGTAATGAGTGAGTTCTCGCTCTATTAGTTCCCACAAGAGCTCTTTGCTTAAAAAGACCCTGGCACCTTCTCTCTCTCTCTTGCTTCCTCTCGCCATGTGATCTGCTTGTACCCGCTGGCTACCTGCCACTTTCCGCCATGAGTAGAAGCAGCCCGAGGCCTGTGCCAGATGCAGCTGTCCCAGAATCATAAGCCAAATAAACCTCTGTTCTCTATAATTACCCAGTCTCAGGTATTTCTGTTATAGCAACACAAACGGACTAATGCATATATGTAACATACTATTTGCCATTTTGACTGCTTTTAAACCTACAGTTGTGTGGAATTAATTACATGCACAATGCTGTGTGACCATCACCTCAGTCTATTCCAAAACTCTTTCATCTCCCTAAACATCAACTCTGTACTCATTAATAACTCCCCATTATTCCTTCCCCTGGTTTTTGGTAACATATAATCTACTTCTGTCTCTGGATACTTTTTCTTTCTAATTTATTTTTTCTTAATCGAGCCTTGATAACTGTATATATTTATAGAGTACCTTGTGATATTTGGGTGTATTTACACAGTGTGCAATGATCATAGGTTGCTTAGCATATCCATCACCTCAAATGTTCGTTGCCTCTTTGTATTGGGAACATCCAACCTCCTCTCGACTAGCTACCTGAAGTTATACAACGATTTGTCATTGGCTGTAGTCTCCCTACCACGCTACAGAACGCTAGATCATAATCTGTCTCCCTACAATTTTGTACCCATCACCCACTCTCTCCCCATGCCCTGCCCCACTCCCTTCCCACCCCTGGTAACCATAATTCTGCTCTCTACTGCTGTGAGATCGACGTATTTAGCTCCCACATATGATCGAAGACATGTAGTATTTCTCTTCTTGGGTCTGGCTTCTTTCATTTAACATCATTTTCTCCAAGCTCATCCATGTTGCTGCAAATAGGAGAATTTCATTCTTTTTTATGGCAGAGCAGTATTCCATGGTGTATATATACTGTACTTTCCTTATCCAGTCATCCTTTGATGGAGATTTAGGTTGGCTTCATATCTTGGCTATTGTGAATAGCCTCTCATGCTTTTTTGAGTAAAACTCCAATTTCAGTGTTTCACCATTTGGTGGCTGAACAACTCACAGGCAGAGAGATGCCCGAAGGTTGGCCACCTGTAGGTTGAGAGGCCCAGTGATGGTAGGACCAAAGTTGTGGGCGCAGATACCAGGAGTGTCTAAAACTACCAGTGTTCTGAAGTAATACTGTGTTCCAACGTGCTGACAGTATTTCCAGATATCTGCCACAGCTGTCATGAGACATGAGCACGTCTGTGATTTGTCTTGGTCACAAAGCTGTGGGTTCTTAGACTACTGCTGTGGTTTGCATGTATGTTCATGGTTTAATAGAGTAAGAGTTAAGGCAACCTTAACAGAGTAACCCGGAACACACAATTAACAGAACAACTAAGGCAACCTGAATAGAATAAGAGTTAAAAGACCTTAGTAGAATAAAACTTAATATACCCTTTAGGGAAAAATTAGTTAATGCAACCTGAATAGAATAGGAGTTAGTACAACCTTAGTAGGATAAGAGTTTATGCAACCTTAATAGGATAAGAGTTAATGCAACCTTAATAGGATAAAACTTAATACAGTCTTAACAGAACAATTAGGTAATGCAACCTGAATAGAAGTTAATACAACCTTAATAGAATGAGAGTTAATGCAACCTACATAGCATAGCTATTTATAAAACCTTAACAAAGCAAGAGTTCATGCAGCCTGAATAAGAGTTAATATGATCTTAACAGAGTAAGCACCAACACGACTTTAACAAGAGCCAATACAACCTGAACAGAATAGAATTAGTAGACCTTCAACATGGTGGTTCTCCAACAGGAACTTTCTGCCAGGGACACTTGGCAATGTCTGGAGACAGTTTTGGGTGTCACAGCTGTGGGGAGGGGGTGCTACTGGCATCTAGTGGATAGAGATCAGGGTTGCTGCCCAACGCCTGACAAAGCACAGGACAGCCTCCCAGAGCAAAGAATTATCTGGCCTGAAATGTGACGACTGCCCTGTTTGGAAGCCCCGCCTTAGCAGGATAAGAGTTAATAGAACCTTAACAACAGAATAGGAATTCACGCAACATCATCAACTTCTCCACCTCTCTCACACACACCCATTTTTAGGGCTTCCCAGTGGGGAAGGAAACACCAACTTCCTTTGTTAAGATAGTGTCAGGTCATATTTGCATTTATGTCCACATCCTGTTGGAACAATGCTCATCACTAGCATGGCGTAAATACTGTGGGCATCACATGGTCTCAAAAACACATCTTTCCACGTGGGATGTTTCCAACTTCACATCAGTGAGGTCGCTCGAGCCTTGGCAGCCATCCCAGACAGTGTGCGTGAGAAAAGAAATGCATTGATGATTTATTTATTAATTTGTTATACTTTATGTATGATTCAAGGACATTATGTGTGAACTTCTTTAGAGAGATAAGAGAAGAAAACAACCAACCAGCTCTAACTCTCTAACACCACTATGTAGAAAACCCCTCTGACATCTAAAAACAAAAAAAATACATATTTAAGAAATCAAAATCTCCTATGGAAAGTTCCAGAATTAAAAGCAGAAGATGCTTCCCCATCCCCCTCCCCTGACTTTCTGCCCCCAGGTAAACCTTTTAATAGTGAGAGACAAAGGTAGGATTTCACAGACTCAGGTGTGTTTTTTGCAGTTGTGGGTGTCCCTCGGTGTATTAATCCTTTTTCTGAAACTGAATAATTTATAAAGAACTGAAATTTACTTCTTATAGTTTTGGAGGCTAGAAAGTCTAGGGTTGAGGGAACACATTTGGCTGAGGGCTTTCTTCCTGCTGGGGACTCTCTGCAGAGTCCCAGTGTGGCAACGGGCATCACATGGTGTGAAGGGATTGAGTGTCCTTAAGTGTTGCCTTATTATAAAGCCGCCAGTCTGCTCCCATGATAACCCATTAATCCATTAACCGATCAATCCATGAATAGATTGATACACTCATGAGGATATAGCCCTCATGACCTCTTAAAAGCTCTTAAAAGCTCCACCTTTCAAATATCATACCGGGGATTAATCTTCAACAGGAGCTTTGCAGAGAGCAAACATTCAAACTCTGTCACTTGGTTATCCAGCGGGCCTTCTCCTTGGGAGCTTTACATTTCCTCATAGACGGCTTCTCTTTCCCAGAATGGTTTCCAGGTTCTTTGCTGTTAAGAGTGACACCGTCCTACTTCCATGAGTTCAACTTCTTGAGTGAGATCATGCGGTATTTGTCTTTCTGTGCCTGGCTTCTTTCATTTAACATATTGTCCTCCAGGTTCATCCACGTTGCCACAAATGAGGTAGAGATCAGAACAGTGGTAACCAGAGGCTGGGGAGAGGTTGGTCAACGGGTATACGAAGTTACAATTAGACAGGAGGAATAAGTCGCGGTGTTCTGTTGCACAGTAGGGTGAGTGTGCTTGACAATATTGCATTGTATATTTTAAAATAGCTAGAGGAGAGGATTTTGAATGTTCTCACCACAATGAAATAATAAGTGCATGAGGTAATAAACATGCTAACTAACTACCCTGATTTGATTTTTGCACGATGTGTACATCTATTGAAACATCACGCTGTACCTTGTAAATACATACGATTATTATGTGTCAATTAAAAACAAAATTTAAAAAGAGATAAAAGAGAGATGCTGTTTTGGGTATCCTGGGGAGGTTCAGTGAAGAACGTTTAAGTGTGGACGGGGAGGGAGCATGCTGCGGAATCTTCAACCTGCACGATCCCACTTCCTCTGCTAAGGATCCTCTCTTGATCTTCCCTGGCTGGACAGCCAGTGAATGGCCCTGCTGGACTCTGCATTTACAGTGTGTACAGTGGGTGTCCCCACCCCAGCTCCGCTCCTCACCCTCCCTGGAGCAGATGGTGTCACATATGGACAACTGGTCAACCCCCCACAGCAGGACCACTTCTCAGCACTGGGAATAGCAGAAAATATTGTTTCCTAAGCACAAGACGGAAGCACCGTTTCATAAAAAAAAAAAAAAAAATTGTGGTAAAATATACATAACATAAAATTTATCACGTTGACCATTTCTAAGGGTGTGGTTCAGGGGCATTAGGGACATTCACACACTCGTGCAGCTGTCACCACCACTCACCTCCAGATCTTCGTCCTCCCAAACTGAAACTCTGTCCCCATGAAACAACCACTTCCCATTCCCCCTCCCCAGTCCCTGGTAACCACTAATCTGCTTTCTGTCTCTATGGAATTGTCGATTCTGGACATTTCATGTAGATGGAATCATACACGATGTGGGCTCTTGTGTCTGGCGTCTTCTACTGAGTATAATGTCTTTAAGGTTCATCCATGTCGTAGCAGGTGTCAGCACCTCATTCCTTTTCATGGCCGCATAATATTCCATCGTGTGCATGAACCATGCTTCGTTATCCATTTGTCTGTTGATGGACAGTGGGTTGGCTTCCATCTCTTAGCTATGGAGAATAATGCTGCTGTGAGGATGGGTGTGCAAACATCTCTTCAAGACCCTGCTTTCCTTTTGTGTATATTCCTAGGAGTGGGAGCGCCAGATCACGTGATAGTTCTGTTCAACCTTTTGTGGAACTGCCATACTGATTTCCTTACCAGTGCAGCATCATTTTAAAATGCATTCCCCGCACCCCATGGTGCCTGTCTGTATGAGTGTGCTTCACAAGAGACTGACAGCCGCCCTTTCGTTTCTGCTGTTTCCCCGAGGTTCTCTTTGCTGCCTGTGAGCTGGGTGTGTTTGACCTCCTTGCTGAGGCCCCGGAGCCCCTGGACTTGACCACAGTTGTTCCACATCTGGGCACCAGTGCCCATGGGACAGAGCAGCTGCTGGACACCTGTGCATCCCTGAAGCTGCTTCAAGTGGAAACGAAGAGAGGAAAAGGTAAAGACGTTTGGCATTGTGACGGAGACGTTTTAAACGTGCACCCTTAGCAGCTTACTTTTTCTGTAAAGGGCCAGAAGGTAAATATTTCCAGCTTTGTGGACCATATGGTGTCTGTTATAGCTACTGTTAGAGCATCAGAGCAGCCAGAGACATTATGTAGATGAATGGCCATGTCTAGGTTCCAATAAAACTTTATTAACAAAAATAGGCAGTGGGCCACAGTTAGCAACCAGGCTGTAGTTTGCTAAACCCCCATTTAGAGGTTTCTATGTGCTGTGTTTGCATTGGTACCCTGATGAAGTATCCAACGAATAAAACAATAATGTAAAAAAAATATATATATTGTACATTAATTTTCTATCACTTTGAATTTATTCAATTAAAAGCTTCTCATTTATTGTGAGATTATATTCTTATTTTGGTATTGAAGTGTCCTCTCTCTCTTGTGGAATATGGTGATGATAGATGGTAGGTTTTGTTTTATTTTATTAAATGTTCTTATGTTGCAAAATTCAAAATGCTCGATCTCCTGTCTATCACCAGATCACTTGCGGAATCCTGTAGATCCAGGAAATGGCAAAGTTTAGAAACCATTGCTCGGCTCGATGCACCAAAGAACAGCAATGTGAGGTCTGGCTGTGGGGACAGAGGATGGCGGTCTGTTTGCTTGCAGCAACGAGTCTTGTACTGGTTGGATTCTGGGTGCAAACATTAACTGGAGCAGGAACATATCATTTGATTGTTGGCAGCTCTGACACCCACGCTTGGAAATCAGGCAGGTAGCAGGGTGCCCGCCAGCCCAAATCACTGCCAGCTACAATCCTCAGAGACCACCCCTACGACACAGCAGCTGCCTCTGAACACCCACCCCTGTGCCAACACCTGGGCCCCAAGACATGGGTGAGGGATACTGCGGGGACCAGCAGCCAGTGCACTCTGTTCCCTGTCCCTGTGGCTATTCCTCAGCGGCTCTGCTCACCGAGTCCTGGTGCTGCGCAGTGGTTGGCAGAAGCATGTCAGTGGGCAGCCGAGCTCCGTCCTGGGGAGGGGACCTGTCTTTGTTTGTTTGTGCTGTTATAGCAGAATACCACAGACTGGGTCATTTATAAAGAACAGACATTTATTTCTCACAGTTCTGGAGGCTACAAAGGCCAGATAGGTAGATGACAGACAGACAGACAGACAGACGGATGATTGATAGATGGATAGAGATAGACTCGTAGATAGATGAGAGATAGATGTGGATGGTGGTTACACAGACAGAGGATAGGCAGGTGCAGCAGCTGCATTGTCTGCTGAGGTCCAGTCTCTCTTTCCAAGGTGGCACCTCGATTGCTCCCTCCTCCAGAAGGGAAGAGCACTGCGTCCTCGCATGGCAGAAGGTGGAAGGTCAGAAAGGACAAACACGCTCCGCTGAGCCCTTTTATAAAGGCACCAAATCCCGCGCACAGTGACGGAGCCCTCTTCGTGATGCCATCACACTAGCAGCATGTGCTTTCTGGAGGGGCACAGTCATAGCATGGCAGAGCCTTCGGTCCCTGCTGAAACAGCCCAGGCTGGGAAGGAGATTGGGGGAGCGGGCCAAGCAGGTGGCTCGCAGTTGCTCAGCCAGTGGGCAAAGTGACTGGAAAACCCATTCCAATTTGTTCTCTGGGCTCCGCCTCGGTGGTCTATGTGAGTGAGCCTCTGGCATACAGCAGGTGCTTCAGAGATGGTGCTCAGAGACATGGAGACCCCAGACCTGGGGCTGGAGTTACAGGGTGAGACCTTGTTCATGAGCAGGGCAGCCCATTCTCTCTTTTCGAAGAGCGACACAGAGGTGAGTACTCCAGGATCAAGAGCACAGGAGAATCCCATGTAGAAAAATGGGGCCCCTGGGGGAACTGGGCCCAGGAAGAGGAGAGGAGGATGTAGGGTGGGACCCTGTGCTTAGCAAAGGCACGGTGGCTGATTTGGAAATGGGGTCCCCCCAAGTGCATTCTCCCTGGTGAGGACAATGTCCCTCTGCGTGGGCAGTGGGGGGGCAAAGGATGGGACAGTTCAGAGCCAAGTGGACCCCAAGTTTCCTGCTGTTTAGGCTTCATCCAGAGCATCATTGCCATCTGCAGGCCAGGACTGTGCACCTCCTGCAGGCCGTTGTCACAGCATTCGCCCAAGATTGGGTCCCCTGTCCGTCTCCTGCTTAGCCGCGCTGTGCGGAAAAGTGGTCCTTTCTCCCCTTCTTTTTTCCTTTTTAAGTCTGGATGTGACCCCTATTTGTCTATTTTCAAACATGTTGCTATTTTAAAAGTGCACAGAACATAGGTATCCACCTGTGTTCATTTCTACCAGTACTTCAGAAAGTTTATGGAAAGATTCATATTATTTTTTAATTCTATTTTTCCACGAACTTTCTGAAGTCCCCTCGTATTTCCACCTGCTCCACCCAAACTTCCAACACAATTAGCGACAACCGAGGCCAGCTGGAGCAGCAACTGCCCACCGGTCACTGTCGCCCGTTCAGTTTAAGCCGCAGCTGTGGGGATGTCAGTGCTCCCAGGAGAGAATCACGTTTCAGTCCTGAGGCTGCCGATGCCGGTGACGACGTGAAACCCAACTTTGTTCTTCTGTTCTTTTCCTTTCTTTGCAGCTTTATGTGAAGACACAGAGCTCTCCAGCCCCTACCTCACTAGGGTCAGCCCAAGTCCCAGTGCAACACGCTTCTGTACACGGCCAGGACGACCTACCGCTGCTGGGGCCACCTGGCCGGGGCCGTGAGGTGGGTGAGGCCACAAAGGCGTTGGCCGAGCCCTGTCTGCCTCTCATCCACCTGCGTATGATCAATTATGTGTCTTCTGTCTATATCTGTCATCTGTTTATGTATCTATCTGTGATCTATCTATCATCTGTCATTTATCATCGATCTATACCTATCTTATCTGCCATCTGTCTCTCTACGGCACAGGTCAGCAAACAGGAATAATTCTTGGGCTGGTTCAAGGGCACCTCAGGAGTCAAGATGCCAGGTTTCTTATAGAACCAAACACAGCGTTGCTAGGTTTGGAAATGCACGCCAGGTGTTTGAAGTTGCCTGGTGTCGACTGACAGAATTCACTTCATCTGATTTTGTAGTGATCTACACCAGGGGAGTGTAGTCTGTGCCACTTTGCTAGGGAACAGGGAAAGGAAGAAAAATGACTCAGAACAAGGTGAAACAAAAACCAGGATAGTGGCTGTAACTGCGATTGTTTCACTCCGCCTCAGGGTGTCTCAGCCTCAGCACAGCTGACATTGGGGCTGGATGATTCTCTGTGGTGGGACTGTCCTGTGCACTCTAGGGTGCCGAGCTGTGTCCCTGGGCTCCACCCCCCCAGATGCCAGGAGCAGCCACTCCCCTCCTGCCAGTGGTGAGAACCAAAGGTGTCTCCAGACATTGCCCGGTGTCTCTTTGGGGGGTATAATCACCCTGGTTGAGAACCACTGCCATAGATAGGTACATAGAGTCTCTCGTGCCAAGGCAGGGCTTCCCAACCTCTGCACTAGTGACATTAGTGCTGGGTGACTCTCTGTGGTGGGGCTGTCCTGTGCAGTGTGGGGTGTTGAGCTGCAACCCTTGCTCTACTCACAGATGCCAGTAGCACCCACCCCAGCAGTGACAACAACCAAAGATGGCCCAGATATGGACAGATGTCCTTTGAGGGGGTAGGGGGTGGGGGAGAGAATTGCCTCCAGTCGAGAAGCATTGCACTACATTTTCTTTCTTAATTATTTTTACTGAAATCACATCTTGAACCTCTGATGACATAAGCCATGAAAAACTGGCACCCAAGTTTTAACATGTATTTGGGAAAATATGCAACTCATCCTTTTCATGATTCTAGCCATTATTTGACGTAATATCTATATTCTAAAATAACATGCGTGGGACTCAGCTGAAGTGTAGCACCTGATGCTGATTTGGGGGTCTCCAGGTGGCCAAGGGGTAGAGTTGGGGGTGGAAAAGAGTGGGGGCTTGTAGTATAAAGTGCTGAGGGAGGGACCTGGAGGCTGGTTCTGTTGGCGACTCCAGGTGATTCTTTGAAGGAGACCAAGTCTTCGGGGGTCTCAAGTCACAACCAGAGATGTTTTCCTGCTAGGAAAACTCCTCTTTCTTCCTTTTGGGCTCCAGGGTGTCCTCTCTTTCCTTCTCTTTCTGCCTCATTACAGCTGCCTGTGGAGACTTCTGTCACCCAGCACCAGGGCTGCAAACTGCAGTGTGGATAGTGGAGCAGCGCGTAATACCAAGGCCGCACATGAGAGACGAGAGGGAACGGTGGGGACTGCGGCAAACTGGGAAGCGTGTGCCCGTCTGAAGGGAATTGGTTGGACACAGCTGGTTGGTTGAGTGCATGTGGCGATGAGGCCATTTCTGCTACAGCTTCTCATTTCTGTGTTTTGCAAGAAGCAGGATCTCCTGATTTTAATGTGACATCTCCCAGTTTTTTGTTCTTGCAACCCATTTAGTTAAGAGAGAGAGAGAGAGAGAGAGAGAGAGAACCCAAGCAAGCACATTGTGAGCTGAACAGAGCCTAGGGCTGCCCATTGGATCTCTGCCCAAGAATACAAGTGACAGATGACCCCTGTGAACTGGGTTCCCCCGATCTCCTGAAGTCTTGCTGGACCCTCTGCTGTCTGTCCCCATGACTTCTCCCTCATGTTTTGTTTATAAAGGGATTCAGTGTTGGTGCAAGAGAGAGCAAGGCTCTTCTCCCTGTGCCTTGTGCTGTCACTCAGGCTGCCTCAGATGGTTCACCTGGATTCCTCATGTAGCTACTGATGAACCTTTTCTGTGTCCTTCAGCCTCTCATCATTTCCATCTCCTGAAGGTCAGATGGAAAAGGGTTGGCCAGAGTGAATGAAGTTCGGGGGCTGATTTTGGTGGTGTTAGATTCTAGGAGAGAAGCCATATGGAGACACATTCACCTCTACTCCAAGGAGCTGTCCAAGGTGGGCAGGGATGGCAAAGAACTCCTTCACCTGGGTTGCAGGGGAGGGTCTGGTAGCTGTCCCTCCAGCTGTGGGGGTAGACCAGCTGTCTCTCCTATTGTGAGGGTAGACCAGCTATCCCTCCTACTGTGGAGTAGACCAGCTGTCTCTCCTATTGTGAAGGTAGACCAGCTGTCACTCCTACTGTGGAGTAGACCAGCTATCCTTCCTACTGTGAGGGTATACCAGCTGTCTCTCCTACTGTGAAGGTAGACCAGCTATCCTTCCTACTGTGGAGTAGACCAGCAGTCTTTCCTACTGTGAAGGTAGACCAGATGTCTCTCCTACTGTGAGGGTAGACCAGCTATCCCTCCTACTGTGGAGTAGACCAGCAGTCCTTACTGTGAGGGTAGACCAGCTGTCTCTCCTACTGTGAAGGTAGACCAGCTGTCCCTCCTACTGTGGAGTAGACCAGCAGTCCTTACTGTGAGGGTAGACCAGCTGTCTCTCCTACTGTGAAGGTAGACCAGCTGTCTCTCCTACTGTGAAGGTAGACCAGCTGTCCCTCCTACTGTGAAGGTAGACCAGCTATCCCTCCTACTGTGGAGTAGACCAGCTGTCTCTCCTACTGTGAGGGTAGACCAGCAGTCCTTCTTACTGTGAGGGTAGACCAGCTGTCTCTCCTACTGTGAAGGTAGACCAGCTATCCTTCCTACTGTGGAGTAGACCAACAGTCCTTCCTACTGTGAGGGTAGACCAGCTGTCACTCTTACTGTGAGGGTAGACCAGCTGTCCCTCCTACTGTGAGGGTAGACCAGCCGTCCCTCCTACTGTGAGGATAGACCAGCCGTGCTTCCTACTGTGAGGGTAGCTCTGCTGTCCTTCCTACTGTGAGGGTAGACCAGCTGTCCCTTCTACTGTGAGGGTAGACCAGCTGTCCTTCCAGCTGTGAGCTGTTTCTTGTCTCCAGATGCTGGGCAGTGAGGCACTGTGGACCATCTTGTCTGCTGATGGCACATCATTTTCACACTCTAGATCGTTGTTAGGTTTCATTCCTTCCTTGCTCATGTCAGAGGAGCCTGCACGTGGACTGACTGTGTGCCACTTAGGAGCTAGTGTGCGTGTGGTTACGTATTTATGTTTCCTGCTTGTTCCTGTGGTGATTTAAGGTTGAGGATACGTGACCACCTACCTGTGTGCAGTCCCTGATGTTGGGTTAATGTCTAAGTCCTTGACCAACTGTCTTCCTGCCTTTTTCTCAGAGAAGGGAAGAACCAGCATCTGAAGGCCTTCGGCGTTCCCTCTGAAAAGCTTTTCACAGCCATCTACAGGTAACACTCCTCACTTTGAAAGCACCTACTCTGGCAGGATTTTGTTTATTTTAAAGTTACTTACAGGACTCAATCAATGTGTCCAAATCGGACAACCCAGACAAGAAGTCGGTATTTGATTTAAAATGACAACCCCCCTTCTAGCTTTCGCCAGTCTGATGTGTGCATTGATCAAATTCCAGAGCACATGCAAATTCGTCATTCCCTTGAAGTGACTTTGTCGAACTCAACACGTAAGCAGAAAACGGAGGTGCCGGTTTTGATTCGGCCGAAGCTCCCCAGATCATGCCTCTTTTTTCACTTGACTGTGCATGCACAGACACAGCTTTGGGGTTTTCATGAAGTTCTGCATCAGAATTTGAAGATAGTGGTGAATTTTGGAAACATTTCAAGTGTTTCCAGCTAGCTGAGGGGTGGAGCAGGAAAGGACCGCAAGTATATGGTGCAGGGAGGGTGCCTGCCCCTGCCCTGCCCTCTTTTTCTCTCCACCCTTTCCCCTCCATCTTTCTCTCCTTTCTTCTTTCCTGCGCCCCCTCCCCACCTTTCTCAGTGATGTCATGATCTCATTACCTTGAGAACTGCACAATTCACGTTTTCTGGATACCATTGCCTCAGGAGACTATGCTTATTATTATTATTATTATTGTGATAAAGCATATATAACAATTTCCACTTTAAGCATTTTTAAACATTCATCTGCATGGGATTAGTTACATTCACCATGCTGTGGGACCACTGACTCTATTTCCAAAATATTTCCATCACCCTGAACATAAACTCTGCACCCATGAAGCAATATCTTCTCACGATTCTCTCCCTCTTGTTTCTGGTAACCTCTACTCCACTTCTTCTGCTCCTCTCCCTTCTCCTATCAGTCTCCTCTCCTCCTCTGATTCTCAGAAGCAAACCCACCACGCAGGCTCTGCAGAGAGGACAGGAGGGGAGTGGGAGCTGCTGCGGACGCGCCCCCATGCCTGCAGCTCTGTGCAGCTCCACGTCCACCATCCCACTTGTTCCTCCTCACTGGCCTCCATTCCCAGACCCCTCCTTCTCCTGCAGCCTCTTCTGCATCTCCCTAAATTCCCACCTTCTGGAGCTCCATCCCAGGGGGTGTGGACCCCCCTCCACACCGTGTACTCTGGAGCATGTGTGGGGGACACGTGTTGATCTTCCTGTTAGAAAACATCCGAACATCTCCTCTGATAGAAATAGGCTCCCACCCCACCTCGACTTCCAGAGAAGGATGACTGGTTCTGACCACACCCCAGGTTTCCCAGAGCTGGGTATGCTTTGGGGGAGGACATAGGGCTCCCTCGTTTCTAACCTTACCCTCCTTTGATAGGACAGGCTCCATTTCTCAAATGCAAGGCTCATACATGCACCTGGGGACAAAGCTCTTTCTCAGCAGAGGGTTCCCCGTGCCAACGCTTGCACCAGCTGCACCAGCTTTTGCTTGGTTTTCACGAGCGTGGTTTTTCATGCCTGGTCTGAGGGCGAGCGTCTGCAGTTCATGCGAGGTCTGCAGGAGGTCTGGAGCATCCACAGGTGAAGCGTGCTTGCTGCCTTCGACCTGTCACTGTTCCCGCATGTCTGCGACCTTGGCGGTGAGTGCCCACCCCAGACACCAGCACTGACTTTCATATTCTGTACAGGGAGTACATTCACTGTGTCTTCTGTTTTCTGTAGCTGATGCTTTTGCACCTTGGGTCTTGCCCACCCTGAAGGGACAGCCCCTCCCAGGGCTGACCAATTCCTAAAGATATGAAACACCTCACCTGCGAACATGCTTTTCAGATACACACCGATCAGTTCAGAGCCCACACTGCACCCACCTTCTCTACAAGACTCTCACACCCCTGACGACTCTCCACCTGCCCTAAGCACCTCAAAGCCCTGAACCAGGCAATAGGAACAGCCCCCATGCCCCAGAGTCCACCAACGTTTTTCAAACTGGTCAATCCTAAGCCTGTTCACCCTGCCTCATGTGTTTCTTCCCATGGAAACCACAAAACAGGCTCATGCCCACGTTCTCTCCCTTCCTCTGCCTCCTGCCTGACCCTGGTGGTTCTCTGTGTGGCCCTGCATGGCATGGCCTGCCCCTCTTCTTGGCCACCATGAGCAACACACTGTCTTTTCAATGCCCTCATCTCCTGATCTTTTCAATGAGCACACTGTATGTTAGAACAAAGAACCATGTGCTTTCATAGAATGTAGCAAAGCAAAGGGAGAGAAGGTGACCCAGCTAGCAGGAGGCTCACCACTAACTCACAGGCGACACCTGCCTGCAAAACTCTCCTTCCCACAGGAAACACCTGGCTTTGTGGACCCTCACTGTGGGCAGGCCTATCTCCACATTTGAAAGCAGACTAGCTCCCTGTGCATTCCTCGGGAGTTCTTGCTTCCACGGTGCCCTGTGAACGAATGAAAGAAAATAGAAATGCCCTTTAGAACTATGCAAACATTCTTTCTCATCCCGAACACCATCCTGGCCTCAGCTGTTCATTGCAGCCAACTAGCAATGGGTGAATGGAACAGGGGCTTGGATAGAGCCATGGCTCCCCGATGGTTTCTGGGGAGCCTGATAAAGCTCAGACCTCACGGCCCCATTTCCTGAGGTTTTCAGTGAACAGCACCAGGAATCTGCATTTCTAAAATGCTTCCAGAGAGGCCAGTGCTGGTGGTTCGTGGACAACCCTGGTGCAGACGTTGACACCCGTATCAGTCCGTTTCTGCTGCTTATAAGAGATACCTGGAAGCGGGTAATTCATAAAGAAATGAAACTTATTTCTTACAGTTTTGGAGGCTGGGAAGTCCAAATGAACCTTGGTGAGGGTCGTCTCCTACAGGGAGGCAGGGTGTCACATGGTGACAATGGGCTGAGCAAGAGAGAGGTGACCTCGGGGCTCTAGAGTGTAGTCATCACGGTGGAGCTGGCGTACATGCATTCTTCTGCACAACCAGCACCAGCTGTGCCCAATTGCCTGTTTCGGTGCAAAGTAGTTCTTTTACTGTATTAGTCTGTTTCTGTTACTTAAAACGTAATAAGTGCAAGTGGGTAATTTATAAGGGAAGTGAAATTTAGTTCTTACAGTTTTGGAGGCTGGGAAGTCCAAGGTCCAGGGAACACATGTGGTGAGGGTCTTCTTCCTGGTGGTGACCCTCTACAGTGACCAGGGTGTCATGTGGCAAGCATGGGCTGAGCAAGAGAGCAAACTCTTCACTCACTCTCTTTATAAAGCCATCAGAACCACAGCCACGGCTCCATGAATGGATCAACCCATTCATGAGGACACAGTCCTCACAATCTAATCACCTCTCAAAGGTCCCACCTTTCAAATACCATAGTTGGATTTCCCACCCTCTTAACACTGTTACAATGGGGGTCAAGTTTCCAACACATGGATTTTTGGGGCATGCACTTGACCCGCAGCAACAACACCCCCTGATCTAAGAAAGGATGCTTTGGTCAGTGGTGTTGGTCTCTGTTTCTGCCCAGCTATGATATGGCGTTGCTGCTGGAAAACTAGAAGCGGACTGTCAAGTTGACACTTACTGCTTCCCATGCAGTGTTTGCAGTGGAGTCAACATACTGCTTGAGCCCGCAGGGAGCAGGCAGGTATTCTGGGGTCCTGAGGGACAGATGTCACTGTTAGCCTTAGGAACCTGACGTTCTGATGCTGCAGTGGATGAGTGGATGTCCGGCTGTCTCTCGAGCATCTTCTGTGGGTTAGATGCTGGGCGTGGTCGGTTCCAGAATGATCTCAGGAGTGAGTGTTCATCCGTCCTTGTTTTAAAGATTAGGAATGTGGTGCTTCGTGGAGATGGAAATGGCAGCATTGGGGTCTAACTGCTGGTGTGCTTAATGCAAAGCCTCTGCTCCTGGTACCACCCTGTACTGCATAAGAGCATCGGCCCCTTCATGGAAAACGAGCGCTCAGAATTCCCCCTGTGCTCGGTGCACTTGCTGAGGGCAGTGGTAGCCCGAGGTGGTCCTCGCAGGCCAGGGCGGCTCAAACCTTAGAACAAAGCAAAGGCTTGGTGGTTACTGGGCTGCTTGTGATGGAGTCGGGATTCAAGGTGCATTCAAGACACACACAGAGTGTAGTCCTCAGATTGGAGGGGTACCCCAAATCCTACAGGGCAGTGACAGGAAGTGGATCGAAGAGCCAGTGTCAGAGCAGCTTCCGTTTGCCATCTGCGGGCAGCAGGGCACAGTGATTGGGAGATTTCACTCTGGGCTTCCAACTGGCTTCTGCTTCTTGCTTGCTGCATGACCTTGTGCAGGTTCTGAGGTCTCCCTGTGCCTCAGTTTCCTCACTTGTAGAACGAGGATGAGGATGATCCCAGCGTGAGTGTGGTCGTGGTGATCGGGTGCATGTCTGTGCGTGAGCAGCACAGGACAGCTCGCGTTTCACAGGAGGTTCTGTGCAGCAAGGGCAGCTTCTCCAAGTGGTTGTTATTGTGAGTTACTGAAAGCAAGTCAGAGGCCGTGTGGATGCTCGGGGCACAGGGTCAGCCAAGCCAGGAAGATCACCTGAATTCAGGGGCTGGTGGATGACGATGTAACCGTCAAGACCAGAGTAGAGGAAGAACCTGGGTCCCCAGCCCGGACCCCTGGGGGCCGATGGTGCGTGGAGGGTGCGGGCAGCTTACACGTTCCTCTCTCAGCATCAAACACTCTGTATCCGCTTCCAGGCTGTTCTGGGGCTCTGGCCACAGAGTGCGTTTCTCTGTACCCTGGATGTAGAGTCACCGTTTTCGACATCCCAAAAGTGGTACAAACAGCAAAGAAGCACTTTTCGTTCCTGCAGGAAGAACAAATTGGCTTCCATGAAGGTAGGTTTGCACGTACTGTTTGTGTCCATGGGGAATCAGACACGTGTCCCAGGGGCTCTGGAGAAGCTGGATGCTTAGCATGACTGATGGATGTTTGGTGTGACTTCCTCAACTGACCCTTCAAGTAACCCCGTCGACGTAAAACTGTCTAATGTTCACGATGGTTGGAAAACTGTATGAAGGTATATGGCTTTCTTATAATTAATTATTTTCTGAGTGCTGCTTTTGGTTGAATAGTGGCCTCCTACCCCAAAATTTGTCTAGGTGGAATGTGTGAACAGGAGCTATTTGGAAATAGGGTCTTTGCAGATGTAATTAGTTAAGATGACATCATCGTGGATTAAGATGGGCCCCAAGTTTAATATGACTGGTGCCCTATAAGATGAGGGAAATTTGGACGGGTATACACAGACATATAGGGAAAAGTAGAGACCGGAGTGATGCGGCCACAAGCCCAGGGACACCTGGAGCCACCAGGAGCTGGAAGAGGCAGGAAGGATCCTCCCCTGGAGCCTCTGGAGGGAGCACAGCCCTGCCACACCTGGATCTCAGGCTTCTGCCTCCAGAACTGGGAGAGGACACATTCCTGTTGTTTAAATCATTTCATTTTATGGTAACTTGTTATGGGCAGCTCAGGAAACAAATACAACTATCTAAACCCAAAGCATTTGTGAATAACAGTAAATGTAGCAGATTGAAGCAAAGACTGAGGGACAATTACTAACCAATCCAAGCCCCAGGGAGCACGGTGACGGGGCTGAGACCCAGAATGGGACTTCCTCTTGCCTTACAAACATTGGGTCTAGCTCCCTGCAATGTGGTTTCTCTGTCTCTGTTTCTCTCTCAGAAACTCCATCCTACCTGCAGATATTGCATGCCTCCTTTTAAGGAAAAAAAATTGACATTTTGTGGCTCTATTTCTCTCTTCATCAGAATGAAAACACCAGGTGGGGATGCCAGCCCTGTTCATACTTAGTTCCGCTGTCAAATTGATAACCTTGTTTTTTTAATCACCTCCTACTTCTAAGCCATCGTAGTGGACCACAGTTGAATCCCGGGGTCTGGGGAAGTGCTGGGCATGAAGTCCTCACACCCCAAATGCTTATTTACCCAGTCAGTACATCAGCTCCTTTTGAACCACTCTGGATCTGACAGGCGGGGATTGGGGTGAGGCAAACACATCGAAGTCACGCACTTGTACGATCAGAAGCTGCAGACTGTTTTTATTAAAACACAGATATTTCGATCGTCGGGGATGTTTTGGGCCATAGTTTTAAAAACATTAATTTTTAAAAGCGTTGCATTGACATACAATTTATCTCGATGGCTGAGTTTTTGGGGCCCCTTAAATTTTGCATGTACGATAAACACCCCACTTTCCCCACCCATCCCTGGGAATCTTACTCTTCTCGGAGAGGTGTGATTGATGTTGATTTGTTTTCTTCTTCTAAAAAATGGGGATATGAAACCTACTTCAGAGGGTTGGAAAAACTAGATAAAATAAAAAGTCGTTATTTACTACATGGCTCAGATAGGCGGTCTGTGCCTTAGGGGTTGGTTAAGACAGGAAAGCTGGTGAAATGCTCAGGCTGTGTTCACCTTCGTCCTTGGGCCTGGATTTTCTCCCTCCTGCCCTGTGTTTCCCCAAACAGGAGAAGCCAGTGTAGTTATGATAAGTGAGGATCCCGACATTTTCCAGGCAAATTCTCCATGAGATGCTGACTTTATTTTTCCTACTGGAAATCTAAAACCCTTTCAAATGACCACATGGTGAAGTGACTAGCCAACTACCTGAACAAACGGCCTAAATCACAAAGTGCCAGCCCACTGGGGTCCCAAGAAAGGCATTGCCTACTCTGCCAGGGGTCTGCAGTCTCTTTACTAAAGAACTGGAGAGTAAATATTTTAAGTTTTGTAGTCCAAGAGGTCAGATTGAGTGCCTCACGCAGAGGCTTATGTAAACAACAGAGAAAATGCATTTCCACACATTTTTTAATTGATTGAATTTAAAGCTCTTTTTATTTATTTATTTTTTTTCCTCTTTGTCTTTTTTTGTGACCGGTAACGGGATTGCAACCCTCGGTGTTGCGCCCGCACCTCGCTCAGCCAGTGAGCGGCCGGTCTGTATGTGGGATCCGACCCCTCGGCGGGAGCGCCGCCGCGCTTCCCAAGCGGCGCACTGTAGCAGTGCGCCACCGGGCCGGCCCAAATTTAAAGCTCTTTTTAAAGACATTGGAATGTGGTTTTCAGATATTTTTCGTGTGTCATGAAATATTGTTCTTGCTTTGATTTGTTTTTCAATTACTTTGAAATGTGGAAACCATTCACGGCTTGCAAAAACAGATCATCAGCTGAATTTGGCTCTTGGGCCACAGTGCATTGGGAGGTTTAGTCAAATGGGGTTGGATTGCAGGCTGACCCCAGGGTGCCTGTCCTGTGTTACAGGAGATTTCTTTAAAGAGTCCCTTCCAGAAGCAGATCTCTACATCCTGGCCAGGGTCCTTCATGACTAACTCCCCTTGTGGGTTTGGATCTACCATCAAAATGCAAAAATAATGAAGAAATGGGTTTCTGTTAAATTTGTTCTTCGTGCTTGCTTGAAGACTGACAAAAGGTTTCTGCTGATGGTGGCCAACAGCTGTCACTTTGTAGATTTTATCTTTCTTTTTAGATGTGGCAGCTGTTTTTCACAGGCTCCGCTCAGGGCTGTGCTGAGAGGCGCATGGTTCAGGCTCCGATGCAGACTGTGGGAAAAGTCCTTACCCTCTTCGTGCTGTAACGGGGGGCTCAGATGCCAGCCTCGTGGGGTGTCTGTTACAAGCCATGACCTCAACAGAACTTTGGCACCAGTGGGGACGTGGTAACAACTTGTGTTTATGAAACATTGAGGTCTCTTTCCAGGCTGCCTCATTTCACCTTTTTTTAATTGGTTATGAATATTTGTGGGGTACAAAGCTGATTGTCACCACCCATGCCCAAAATGTGATGGCCAGATCCATACTGGCAGCATGCCTGTTACCACAATTGCGATTATACCCCATGTCCCCCACCCAGTTATCCCCAACCTCCCTCTCCCACCCACTCCCCCTGCAACTCCACTTTGTAGCCCAAGGAATGTTCTCTCGCTCTGCAAGTCCAATGCACCACTGTGGTCTTTCTTTCCTTCCTTGTTTGTCTCTTAGCTGCCACTCATGAGTGAGCACATGTGGTATTTGTCCCTCTGTGCTTTGCTTATTTCACTCAGCATAAGTTTCTCCAGGTTCATCCATGTTGTTGCAAATAGCAGAATTGCATTCTTTTTATGGCAGAGTAGGATTCCATGGTGTAGATATACCACAGTTTCCTTATCCAGTCATCCATCAATGGGCACTTAGGTTGTTCCGTATCTTTCAGCTTTGAGGCTTATTAGTGAGGCCATTTTTGCAGCAAGGCAAGCCAGGCCGGGAGAGTCCTGTCTGTCTTCTGTCACTGATCTGTACTCACATCCATACATGTAGCTGCTGAGAGGGGACTCAGGCATTTGGGTCTGATTAGATCCCCTTCTGTGGTTACAGGAAAATTAGCACGCGATGCTACAAAGGAGAAAAGAATTCAACCCTTGCCAATATCATACCTAATTCTTTCTGGGGCGTTTCCAGTATGGCAGCAAGTCGTTCCTACGTCTTTTTTTCTCTTTGTACACTTTAGAAAATAAAGTCAGTATTATCTTTTCTCTTTCTAAGTACTTTTCTTTTCTTCTATTTTTTTAAATTCAAAGGTGAGAAAACAAAACAAAATGGAATAATTGTTAAAGCAAGTTGTTGTGGGTTGAATTCCGCCCCCCAAAAGAAATGTTCAGGTTCTAACCCCTGGAACCTGAGAATGTGACCTTATTTGAAGTAGGGTTTTTGCAGATGTAATCAAGTTAAAGTGAGGTATCTTTATAAGAATAGGATAGGACACAGACTCAGAAAGCCATGTGAAGACAGAGGCAGACACTGGAGTGATGTGGCCACAAGCCCAGGACACCTGGAGCCACCAGGAGCTGGAAGAGGCAGGAAGGACCCTCCTCTGGAGCCTGTGGAGGGAGCACGGCCCTGCCACACCTGGATCTCAGGCTTTTGCCTCCAGAACTGGGAGAGAGTAAATTTCTGTTATTTAACTCCCCTATTTTGTGATAATTTGCTACGGCAGCTCGGCAGACTCCCATATAAGGAAAGTACGAAATGGTGCACACATTTCAAATTTTAAGTTTGAAAGAACACAAAAGAAACTTTGCTTCTTTTTGCAATGTCTGGTCCGTTTAAGAAGCATCTTTCACAGAAGAGAGAGAGAGAGATTTGGGGATTATGTCCAGATTTGCATGACACCTTTAAAAATGAGATTAAAGAAATCAGGGACATCTTAATTCTCTACCGAGGCAGTCCTCACAGACTAGACCTTCTCACTTCAAACTGTTCTTGCTAAGAGTGTGAAATCATCTCTTACTAGAAATGTGCTTATGTCAACGGTGGGGAGTAGCACTGAGATGGCAAGGTCACCAGGAACCTGTTGGACACTGACTCGTGCTGGGAGTGACGGGGTCCCTGCCTCCAAGGTGCTTTGTGTGTGTCCTGCTGCAAACAGAGACCCTGCAAATGGCATTCCATGATGCACAGGAAACCAGTTATGGAGAAACCTCTATTTACCAGGGAGCACAAATGATTTTGTCTTTCCTAATCCCTGCCCCAGCAGCATCCTGTCACATCTTCTCCCCGAGTAACAGAGCTTTTACCAGTCCCGTAATTATCTGATGCCACAAGTCTCACACGTTTCCACCCAGCCTGGCTGCAAACTTCAATCTTCAAACCTGCGATTCTGACTCCCCCTGGCAGCTCCATGGACCCCGCCTTCCCCTTGGAGCGGTGACAGGGACCAGAGGGCGAAGGGCCTTATCCCTGCCAAAGGGTTGGCGGAGGGAGCAGGTTCGTGTCCAGGCTGGCTCTTCTGATGCTGCTGCGTCCTGGCTCTTTTCCACTGGTGCCCCATCCACGTGACATACGTGGGTACTTTGAGCATTGTCGTAACCATCCTGTCTTCCCTGTATGACCCTGTGACAGGGAGCTGAGGAATCTCCGTCAGCACCTCTGTGGCGGGCATCCCATGTGCTTGGCTGGGGACAGTCTCATCGGCCCCACTGTCCTGTCCAGCAGCTCACCTCGGGAACCACAGGAGCTTCTTGTACATGTGCAGAAGCCACATGGTCCTGGGCCACCTCTGCCTCGGAGTCTCCCATCATACCACCTGCTATGGTTTGAATGTCCCCTCAAGCTCATGTTGGAACTTAATTCCCAACGTGGTGGAGGAAGGTGACTGGATCCTGAGGACCACACTGTCACGAACTTATTAATCCATCCGTGGAGCAATGGGTGGATCGTCTAATGAGTGGTCATGGGTGTGGCTCTGACGTCTTTATCAGGAGAGCATGTGAGCAGGTCAGCTCTGTGTCACTCAGTCCACTCTCGCCATGTGACACTGCATCGCTGTAGGGTCACCACCCACAAGAAGGCCTTCACCAGATGTGTTCCCTGGATTGTGGACTTCAGACTTCCCAGCCTGCGAAACTGTAAGACATAAATTCCATTTTTTTTTTTTTATAAATTACCCAACTTCAGGTATTGTGGTATAAATACCAGAAACAGACTAATATACTCTCTCTCGCCACCGTACGGTCTTACCTGCCGGTCAGGTAGGCCCAGGGAGAAGACCGGCGAGTTTTCTGCCTAACTAAAAACCCCGGAGAGATAAAAGCCCCTTTTCCGTTCTTGCAGACAGCCCCCAATCTTGAAGGATGGTTTTCTGGGATCCCTTTCCTCTTGGCTGAGAAGAGACCCCCACCTTCTCTGTCCCAAGGCAGAGCGGTCAGACAGACGCCCACCCCCACGCCCCCCGTGTACCTGGGGTGGGGCCGTCCTGACACCTCTCCGTCAACCTGCGGCGGATGCGTGAGCCCAACCCTTGACTTTCTTTCCCTCGGTTTTGTGTTTGTGGCTTGGCCATAATATAGGACCAGTGGGAAAAGTCCCACTGTCTTTTTACCCAGGTAGACACTCAAGTCCTTCAATGACTGTTGTGACAATCCCAAGTTACTTTGAGTCTTACACACGGGCTGGGGCTCCCAAGGGATGGAAAGGAGTATTTGTTAGGGATTTCTCTCCTTTTCTCCTTAGTCCTGGTGAGTTGATTGGGGTCATGGTGTAGCAAGATCTATTTGTCTTTCCTATTTTTTTTTCTTAAATATCTCATGCCCTAAGTGATAAAAGGAAGGAAGAAAAGTTGAACTTTTGCCGATGACTTTTTCTACTTCCAGACAACCGTTTTCAGGGGGTTTATGGGATGGGGTGCTGTGTTAGTTTTCTGTGGCTGCTGTAATGTCACCGCAAACTTGGTGGCTTAAAACAGCACACATTTATTCTCTTACGGTTATGGAAACCAGAAGTCTGGAATCAGGTTCACCGAGCTGAAGCCAAGGTCTCGGCAGGGCTGGCTCCTTCCGGAGGCTCCAGAGGAGAATCCGTTTCCTCTTTCAGCTCGTAGACCTGCTGCTTCCCTTGGCTCACGGCCCTGACCCTTGTCTGCAAAGCCAGCAATTACGTCATGCTGAGCTCTGCCCTCATGGTGACATCTCCTTCTCTTACTCTGACCCTCCTGCCTTCCTCTTATCAGGACTCCTGTTAGAGTTACCTGGAAAACTCAAGAAAATGTTCTCATCTCTGGATCCCTAATTTAATTAAATCTACAAAGTTGCTTTTGCCATGAGAGGTGACATATTTACAGGTTCTACATAGGATGGGGACATCTTTGGGGGCATTATTCTGTCTAGCACATGGGATGAGGACGTGGACATCTTTGGGGACATTATTCAGCTGACCACAGGTAGCCTTTTCTCCCTGGTCTATCCCCAGAGAAGCACCTTTCCCGTTTCTCTCTCGCTCCCACCCACCTCTGCCCTTCACTGTGAAATGAGTGGGCCCCGTGTTCAAGTGTGTTGGGACCATCCCTGCCGTGTTTCCAGCACGAGCGTTTCCTGACCAGGGGGCCCTGCTTCTGCCTTCTGTGGGGGCCTCGCAAAGAGCCTCGATTTCACCAGCATGGTTAATCACCACTGATTAAAATCTAGTGGATCACGTTTACAGTTTTAGAGCAATTTCTGTCCCCAGGGCTCTCTTAAAATAGCCGCTCACAATTGCAAAGGGCAACAGTGCATCACAACCTCTCCAGCAGGCGCCAGCTTCCCTCCGGTGGTAGACACATGGGGGACCAGCGTGCTGGGATTTACTGTCCTCTTAAAAAAAAATTCACTGGGGTAAAATCCCTCTGAATAGTCTTGTTCGAGCCTTTAGAATATATTGCAATTTATTTATCTTTATCGTGATAAAAGTAGACAGAACAAAAAAGTTGCCGTTTTGGCCATTTTCAAGTGCATAGTCCAGTGGCATCGAGAACGCTCACATTGTTGTGCGAGCGTCACCAACGTCTGTCTCTGATGCCTTTC